AATGCTCTTCAAGGGCTGCCCCATGTAGAGCGCATTGCAGTAGTCCAGTCTTGAGGTCACAAATACAAAAATTATATTCAGAATAAATTTGTATGATTCTTTTAATGAACATTTGTTTTGATTCAGGGCTTTAATTTCAAAATGCCTATCTATTACATAATTTCATGAATATAAACTTTGATACATGTAGTTCACATTAAAATTAAATATTTATACTCTGTAGTATCTGAAAATTATAAATAATCATCTACAATTAAATACACACATTTTAAAATGGAAATTATTATTTTTTGGCTCAGTGTTATATGAAAAACTACTATGCAAGTAATCCATAATATCACAAACCGATCTATAGAAACAGAAATTTGTTTCCATGTGTGGCAATTATTTGATTTAACCAGAGCAATGGTTTTTGCCGCAAAGTGTAAATATGCCAAAATGGCGATACATGCATAGTGCTATCATCAAGCAAATGCTTCTTTAAGTATTAAAGTAGTTCAGTGACTTGACCCAGCATAAAATATGGCAAATACTTGATGGTAGTACTTTGTACCCCAACCTCTGCAGATGCCCTTGTCTGAACCAATAGAATTTCACTAGTATAATTTATCTGACACATGAATTGTATAATTCATTTTACCAGAACTTGGATTGCCAAGTTAGCTGAATTTAGGAGCAGTGTATTATTTAATCACTTTAAAATTCCCTTTCCAGCAATGAACAGCTTTAACAGATTTCCAGCTCTGATCCAAAGGAAATCTGCTGAAAACTATATAGAAATGTAATTTAGGAATTATAATTAGCTTCTTTTGCTGACTGACTTAAAACAAGCATAATTTTAAAATAAAAAAATTTCTGCTAGCGGAATTGTTGGAGTGAAATATAGCATACCACTCTGTTCAACTTGTATTTTCTAATTTTCTAACTGAGAACTGAAGCTAATCTTCCTGCAATTTTTGTTCCTATTCAACTAGAGACCGATATTTTCCTACTCCATTCCATTTTTATTATTCCTCTCCTTTTATTCATACCATTTTTTCATCATTCATCATCCGTGGCAACTTCAATCTTTCTTGAATGGAACAAACATGTTCAGAACAGTGGCAAGTTTATTATTTCTGATAAATAGGTGTTGGGATAAAGGTTGAATAGGAATCTGTGGGTTTTGCCGCTACAGGATTCTTGGTTGATCTAATTAATTGAAATGTCATCAAATAATTACTAAGATAACAGTAGTTAATGTTAATTTCTTTACAGAGATGAGTTATTTTTTTAAAAAAATATTAAAATTAGAAAATGGAATTCAATTAGAATTTGCATAGGAAAAAAAATCCCACTACATTTCTTGGTAATTTTGCAATAGTATATTTTAAGTCCTAGGATGATAGATCTAGTGACTCTTTTCCAAACTTATGCAGAGAAAATAGATTGGACAGATTTTTTTATTAATTGCAAAAGATAATTTTTCCCCATAAAATCTGCAGAAAGGTAGTTTATAACTGACAAAAAAATTCCCAAAACAATATAGAACTGATTTCAGCCATATCTTTCTTTTTTTCATTCTCTACCCCGCCCCCTCATTTCTATACTTTCTGGAAAATGTCCCATTGATTTCACTTTATTTCTGTTCAGTTATATATGGGACTATGAATATATTACTTATGGAAAAAATGACTCTCTCCATTGTAATGATGACAGTTACTATAAGATTTTGTATGAATTGCACTTCATTTTAAAATTAGCATTTGTTTTTTTTTTATCATGTACAGTGAATTTTTGCCTATATGCTGTTACTATATAACTGGGCAACAGTAATAACTTATGGGAGGAAATGACATGATATATTGTTGTAAAAGCATATTGGCCTGAGCCACTTGAATTATCTTGTGTTGTTCTTGTTTGCTGTTCTTCTTTTGTACTTTTTTGTACCAAGATTTGTAGCTTGGTAAGAATGATGATTCATTGGTAGCTTTCTTCAAAAGATGTATTGGGTATCTCTCATTTTGTTAAAAAAATGTCCTGAAATAAAGTACAAAAATGCAGTTAATGCTCACTTGGTCAAGCAATGATAACATAAAAAGCAAATGGTGAGCCAAAGTTTTAAAAAAAAACACCTCCTTTACTTTCACTTATTCCTTACTTTTAACAAGAAACTGAAAAAAATGTCACCACTAAGAAGATTTACTAAGGATGAGTGAGAGTTAGCAAAGATGAGGATGTGGGAATAAGAATGTTTTTGGTGAAAAATACACAGTTCTTCTTAAGTTGAGTGACATGAGCTATCTCTTCAACCAAGATAAAGATAGAAAATTACTCCCAAAGTATTGTACAGCACAAAAAAGAGTGATTTATTTGTACTTTCTTTTTGCCACCAAATGGATACTGAACTTCCTAGCTTTCTTAGTTTACAGAATAACAGAGCTGGAAGGGACCTTGGAGGTCTTCTAGACCAATCCCCTAAACTAGTTCATAAGCAACTGGACCTGGAACTACCATGTGTATGGATTTCTTCTTCTTCTTAGGTATCATAAATGCTCTGTGTGTTTCTATGCATATTTACAAAGAAGGAAATATCACATGTTAAATTTCGGTGGCTCCCTTTCTTGTATAATTTTATGTTGCTTTAAGATTGGTGGATCTAACATTTCCTTGGGAATAAATTCCCTACAAATGCAATTATGTGTACTTCGAAGTAGACTAGAATAGGATTGAGCTGCTGGAAAATTATATCAAATAGAATGTATGAAATAATATTTAGATAACTCGTTGCAATATAACACAAGAAAAAGAAAATTAAAGAAAACATCCACTGTGAACAATATTCAAAGCCCACTATGACCAGTAAGATTTGTTTTTGACAGTCCAGTTCCAAGGTATTTAAATAATAGACTGGTTTTCATGGAAGTTGAAAAGCAAGTAAACTATAAACTCTGCAGATATTGGTACATTCTGAAAAAAGGAAAGCTTAAGAACAGCTTTTTTCTAGACTTTTCTAGAAAAATCTAGTACATGGCCAACAGCACAACACATTTGTGGATGTGTGATGGAAATGCATCCAATTCTGGGAACTACTTATTTGGGTGGGGGGGACAGACACATTAAACAATAACCTAGATGGAAAAGATAGCTTACGAGAAGTAGAAAAATTCACATCAAACTTAAATAGCTAAAGAAAATGGCACTATTTATATTTTCTAAATATTTCATAGTATAGGATTATTCTTAATACAGAATTATGGTTTTACAAATTAGAAAAATGTAATCAAATTTGTTTTTATAGGGATGTTATAACAGAAATAACATTTATTGGCATGAAAAATTTAAGCAGATATGTGTTTTGCAAAGAATTTGAAAAAGAGTTTAGCTCCATTCTCACCCATGGGAAAATGTTGCATTGTTTACAGAGGCAGGAAAAGCCATGCTCTGCACACAAATGCCTGCCCTCCAAAGCCTTTCCATTTGTCTTGGGATTGATGGATTATTAAGGATCAGCAGCACCAAACACATAAAATGTGAAATATTAAATGAAGATATAAGCTTTTTTTTGCAGGTCTTTAGGCCTAAATTTACTTTCAGATTGCAGTGGCTTTTAAAAGAAGCAGCATTTAGGTTTGATTTAAAAAAATATGTAGCAGCATCCCTCTACCCCCACCCCTTTGTTACATAGTATGTTTGTGTGTGTATGTATGTATGTATATATCAGGGGTGGGTTTCTCGCCCCGTTCCAACCGGTTCGGTTGGAACGGGGCCGGCGGCGTCCTCATGCACGCGTGCAGTGCACGCATGCGTACTAACGTCTGTGCGATGCTCCAGCTGCTCCTGGAGGATCGCGCAGGCGCTGTATGCGTCCTGCGCATGCGTGAAACCGCAGAACTCATCAAACCTGGGTAAGGAGCGCGGGCGGGCG